ACCACGCGTAGGGCATATAGGCGGTACCAGCCTTCCCCGTTTCCACAGAGCCTTTGCCGTCGGGCACGCATTAACTGAGGCCCTCCATAGAAAGAATCTTACCTTAATAGGCACCTGTAAAGACCACATTGTCCCTGGCTGTTCTCTGAGCGATGAAACCGAAGGTGCATCCATTTCTCCCAGATTGATTGCCAGATGGTACGCAGTCTTCACAGAAAACCGTCCGTTCCTCTCACATCACCAATAGGGTCTATCGTACTCCTGTAAATCTTGCTGACCAATATATAAGGCCTCTATATTTGGAACTACTTCTTTCGGAAACACTGCTCCCACCAGCTGCCTATTCCACTTTCTTGGTCCTACAATAATACCCGATACCTTGAGGTCTTTTTCCCATCTCTGCATCCTCCTTGTTTTGAGTGGATTCCTAATACTTGGGATCCAATCTTGATTGATTGATACCGATCTCCCATTCTCCACTTTCCACCTTACTCCTTTCTTGAGTAAATCCCTTGCCCACAAAATCCCCCGCCATCCCCATGACGCTGTCTGGCTGCACTCCACCTCCCAAAAGTCCACAATCTTACAGTATTTTTCTTTAAAGACCCTAGCAAAGAGAGAGTCTTCTCCACTCCCTATCTTCCACGTCAGCTTACCAATTAGTGCCCTATTCATTTCTGATGCCCTCTTCATCCCTAAACCCCCCCCTCCATTTTGATTTGCATACCAGCTTCCATGCTTTCCAATGAATGCCTCTCCCATCCAAATCACCTTTTTAGATGAATCTCACTAAGCACTGATCTATCTTTGAGGCTGTTGCTGCCGGTAGTTTAAACGCTCCCATCACATAGTTGGACATACTTCCTAGGACATGTTAAGCAAGAGTAACCCTCCCTGGTACTGACATGTCCTCCACTCTCCACCCCTTCACCTTGCTCCGTATTCTTCTAACCAGATCATCGAAAATGTTCTTTTTCCCCTTCCCGAAATATAATCCAGATCGAAGCCCAAGTATTTGCCACCCAGCATCCTCTTCGTGACATTTAGCATGATAGACAAATACATAGTGATGGACGGGTCTGCGTTCGGACTAAACAACATGGACGACTTAGCGAAATTTATCTGCTGGCCTACATACTCCATGAAAACCCTCAGAATTTTAGCTAGCTCCACCCCCACATCTACTGAAGTTTCCATAAAGATTATGCAATCATTTGCAAACATAAGGTGAGAAACTGCCGGACCCTCCCTGGAGACCCTGATACCCTTAACAATTTTGAGAAAACATTCTCCATTCAACATTGCCGACAAGGCCTGCTGGCACAAGATAAATAGAAAGGGAGATAGTGGACATCCCTGCCTTAGCTCTTATTGGGTGCAAACTCTTCCAGTACTTGGCCGTGAATACTGATTGCCATTCTCACCTTGGTTACACGCTGCACTGTCCATCTACGCCCTCTCTCAGGGAACCCCATATGGTCCATTATCTTTTCTAGGTAAACCCAATCAACTCTGTCATAGGCCTTACTCATGTCAAGTTTCAGTGCCATAAAGCTCTTTTGCCCATATTTCCTCCTCCGTATATGCTCAATAACCTCATGTGCTATAGTGCATTCCCAGTGGTTGTCTGAGATTACCCCATTTAACACCTTCTTCGGTCTATTCGCCAGCACCTTTGCTACAATCTTGTAGAGCACGTTGCACAGACTGATAGGTCTAAAATCTGTAGCTTCCATAGGCATCTGCTTCTTCGGTATCATTACCAACAATGTTCGATTCCACTGTTCCTCTATTACACCCCTTCTAAAAAAATCCTCTACCGCCCTAGTTACATCCCCCAACAATTTCCCAATACTCCTGGTGAAAACCTGGTGGCAACCTATCCCTTCCGGGTGCCTTCCACTTCCCCATGGCAAAAACTGCATCTTTTATTTATTTATCCATTACATCTCTACTCAAAGATGCTGCCTCTTTGTCTATTATCCGACCCTCGATTAATTGCAAGACCTCCTCCATAGGATGCCGGCTCCTAGTCTCCTGGTGCTGTGCCATCTGCTCCACATAAACCTCTTTAACGTGGCTCTCTATCAAGTCCCTTATTTCCTCCTACGAAGACGTCCATTCCCCAGTACTCCTCCTAAGTTGAGTTATGAAATTTCTTCCACAGCGCTTCTGTACTCACCTATGGAAGAACTTTGAATTCCCGTCCCCCTGAACTGCCCCTGTCAGTTTTGCTCGTTGTTGCCAATACTTATATTGATCTTCTAGCACCTTGTCCAGCCTCTGTCTTATCTCCCTGGTTGACTCCCCCCGGCCCTGTTTGAGTTCAGCCTCTCTGATAAGTATCTTTATTCGGCAATCCAGAGCCCCAATAGATTGATTGTGTCAGTTTGTCAGATGTCTGAGAGTGGTCATCTGATTTCTATCAGGCTTGACTCCCCCCTCCCCGTCGACGGTCCTCCCAGCATTTCCCAATTATTTGTCTTACCACCTCATATCTCATCCAAAATCTCTCAAATCTTATGATCCTCTTTCCCCTCTTCGGGGTGGGGGAGGGGGACGTCACATTGACTATAACTGGACCATGATCCAAGCGAAGGATTGGCAAGCTTTCAGTAAATGCCTGTGGCTTATCCTAGCCATAGATCATTGGCAAATACTCTATCTAATTTTCCAAAATTTCGTCACCTCTCTCCCTCCCATTAGACCATGTGAACCATTATCCTCAACTCCTAACTTTCGAGAGACCCAGGCTTTCCAACATCCCCTTTAGACCTCTTTTTCCACCTTCATTCCTAATCTGACCTCCCCATTTATCCTCATCCCTTAGGATCTAATTAAAATCCTCCATTAGCATGAGCCGTTTATTATATGCCAAGCAAACCCCCTCAATATGATCCCATACCTCCTTCCTCTTAGTTGTATTCGGATGTCCGTACACAAAGCCCAAAAGCCATTCATTATCTCCCGTTGGAGTAATATCAAGTAGTACAAAATTCTGGGATTTACTTAACAGGATAACTCCTGCAGTAGCATCCCAGGCAATACAAATGCCACCTCCAACACCAATCAGATCCACTAAGACCCAATTCGGAAAATGCATGGAGCGCAACCATCTAGACACCTTCTGACTATTACATTTTGTTTCAAACAGACACATTATATTAGGGTTATGTACAGAAACCTTTCGCCAACCCTCCACAATTCCAACAGTAAATCCTCATGGCTGCTCTGGTGGCTGTTTTGGGACAGCCACCGCAACCCCATCAAAGGAACAACTGGCAGCATTAAGGACAATTTGCATTACCTCCGATATTATCACCGTTGCTATAACCGCATCCTCTGCTTGTTGGGTCTCCGTATCTGAGTCTTCTCTGTCTCATCTTCCAAGCAGTCTCCAAACCTCAACTTATGATAGCTGTTGATCTAGCTTCCTTCTTCGGACTGAAGGTGCGTCAAGAAGAAACGAAAGCTTCCTCTTCCTCCCCCCTGAGTAACTCCTATCTCCAGGCACCACCACACTGATCCCCAATTTAAAGCATCTTGCCACCCCATCCCTTCTATTTCTTGCTTTTCCCCCAAGACTTTCTACCACCACCCCCTCTTTTCACTTCTCGTCACCTTCCCGTCAGACCAGCCCCGCCGAGACCACACCTCTCTGCGTTGACGTTGGCGCCCCACCGTCTTTCCCCAGATCTCTTTCTTTTACCGTGATAGCAATCTCGTAGATGAAGCAAATTTCATTAATGCAACCATCAAACAAGAAAGTATGAAGATAAGTTGTTTATCCCGTGAAACTCAAAAGAGTGTGGAAAATTCACAGTAAGACGATCGTTTATCTAAGGATTTCTATCTCTTAATCAAACCAAGCAAGGAACACATTATCTATGAAAGATTCAAATTAAACAATAACCCACACTAAGAATAGTAAGGACACCATTCAATATACTCGATCAGTCATCATTCAAGAGACTCAAGAAAGGTAAGAGTGCTCAACTATGAAGGAATACTATTGATTAGTAATCTCCATAACCAACAAAGATATGCAACACATACACTATCTCAAAATGCTTATGCCTAAGCACAACTCATCCAACAAAAGTAGGACAAACCTCACAAAGGAACTCATGAACACACACATCATGAATTCGAAAACCATAGCCAAAAGAAAGGCTCAACTCTCGAACTACTAGAAGTAGTATGAAAATAAGAAGTTTAGTCTTAAAACAATTCTATCAAGAAGCATACTTGAAAAAGAACGGTTTCTGCAAGATCAAAAGATCCAAGACAAGATAAAAACCCTCTTGGTTAAATCATACTTGACATGAAAAATGGACAAATCATTTAACAAAAATTCTTCACAGGAAAGACTCTCATTAGAGAAGACTCAAAAATGACCATACATGGGTGCTTTAACTTTCGGCCATAGCCCCCCTATTTATAGGCTAGCAATTTCGGCCAAAGCACCAAAAAGAAGACCAACTAGGACTCTCTAATCTTATCTCACGCAGGAGTAGAGTTAGAAGAGTATTTGATCTCTTTGACTCTATCTAAAATCTAGGAAACCTTATCTAAATGACTTATCCTCAAATAGGATAATACTTAGAAGGAATCTAAGACTTCTAATCAAAACATTCTAGTTTAATTCAGTCCACATGACTTATTTAACTAGATAAAATTCAAAAATTGAACTCCTAGACTTAGATAAACTCTAATCTCGAAATTCAGCTCCAAATATTGAAGTAAAATGTCTTGAACGCCCTTCCAAAAGTGGAATATTGGTCTTGCGCCCCTCAAGTTGTAGATAACTCCAATTTACTCTAAAACTTGTAGAATTCTCTTTATTGACTCCAAAAGAATGAAAAAATACTTGAAACAATTTAGATAGTTTGCACCCTATTCAATTGTGTAACAATGGACTCAATCTTGAACACTTTGATTAAATAGGCCGTCCATTCAAGAACCTAAATCATTCTTCTTTCTAGCTTGATCAATGATCTTCATGGAGCACCTAGAGTCAGACTCCTTTGATACTCTTGAGCACTTATTTCCATGAGTGAATCATCTCCTTTGGTTTGAACCCCAAAGTTAATGACATTCTCATCATCTTGATCATAGCTCTCTTGAACCAACTCCCTATCACATAGGTAGTCAAGATCCATCCTTTCTTCCTTGATTGGCTTGCAAAGTAAACTTGGCATTCCAAAACTAGAATGAAGGACTAGCTCATTCCCCTCACTAAGAGAATCACCATGGAAGGCTATATGATTCTCATCACACCGTCCTTGCTCCCATCCTTCGGTGGCTTTACCACAACCATCGCCATACTCGTCACTGCTTTCCCGATCTACCATTCTGTCACTTAGGTGGTGTCCTCCCGGCGGTGCTGAGAAGGACCGGCGGTTCCTTGTTGTCGGTCTCTTCATCCTTCTCCACTTAGAATAACCATCCTGATACCAGAAGAATGTATCATAAACTACTGGATTATGCCTCTAGGAAATCCATCATCCAGCTTTCCAACTTCTTGGGGATTTTCTTGGGTTAAAATTGATCGAAATCAACATACTTTTCTTGAACACCCCAAGTGAATTCACCTTGAACTCCATCAACATGACTCTCACTAATGGAGATAATTAACTCTTCTTCTCCACATATTTTGTATTCCCAAGGTCAACTATCTCTTCCTTTGGAGAAAGAGTCTCATTAAGAACTAAGCACGAATCATTCTCACTAAACAGTCCCTCAAGCATCAACTCCTCATCAAGTGGGTCATTAACAACTTGTTGCACCACCTCTTGGCTCAACAAATTTTTCCTCACCACTTGGGGAAGTCAATTTCTCACTATTCCTGAGCGGGTTTGGTGATGGAGGAGGTCTAGGTGGTGGCTTTTAGTAAGGTGGTGGGTGCACTTCCACCTCCGTTGGTTCGGTTGTGGATTCCACCTCTGGTTATTGTTCTATTTCATTCTCCTCCATTGTCGTGACTATTCTTTTGAGGGCTTGCTCTCTCTCCATCCTTAAGATGTTTTCCACCTTTTGGCACCGTAGGTTCATTTGGTCAAGACTTTGCGCATGCTCTTTTAACAAGGCTCGAAACTCCTCAATCTCTCTACGGTGCAGTGCTTCCTCCAATATTTCATTCCTTTGCATCAACTCTTTCGTCCTTGCCTGAAGCTCCTCTATTTCCTTTTGGAGTTGCACCTCTTTGACATCATAGCATGAACATATTGGTGAATGGAATAGTAATAATCATGTTCATAAAGAGTCAAAACTATTATTTGCATAACAAGGATTAAAACTATAAAAAGGTTCATACGGTTGGTAATTATTCCAATAGTTAAAATTGGGATGGCTCCTACGACACAACTTCCTCGAGTCAATCTTTGACGTTGGCAAGTCAATTCTCAGATTAATCATTGTACCCTGCTGTTAGAGTTGTAAAGTCGAGCCCAGCCCATAAAGATCATTTCTTGATATGGAATAAAGTAATCTATTTATCTTTTAGGCTGGTTTTGTGGAATAAAAAGAATATCCTAGATATGAAAGATAATTATCCAGTTTAAGTTCCAAATTTAGCCACAAACTTAAGATTAAAACTCACAAACTTTGGCAAGTAATAAGAACCACTCTACAGAGTGTCTAACAAAAAAAGAAAGAAGAAGAAAAAAGAATCAGTTCGGGTTAAAAAAGTTTATCGCCGTCCCCGGCAACAGCACCACTTTTGATAGGTGTCAAAGCCACAAAAATAAACCTACTTAAAACTGCAAACAGTGGTAAGAAGGGTCGATTCCATAGGGACGGGTAAAACTCTAATAGCCCTAGTGATTCGACTATGACAACAAGCTAACAGAGAAAAAGATGATTTTTGAAAGTGAGAAACTGGCTTAGCTAAGTGTCATGGGATTTCTATTCCACTATCCTCTCTCTAGCCTCTTATTCTAGTTGCTACTTTTATGGTATGAAACTGTGTTCAATCAGACATTATACACTTTGAGATCACTACCAATTGCTCCAGACAGAGTCCTAATAGCAACAAACCCACTATCCTTTGATGTTGATTCCAGAATACTATTAAGCCATTAAGTTCCTAAGCCCTTATGATCGTCTAATGGCAAACAACTAACTTCCGTTGTTGTTTGAAACCTTGGGTTGTTACCCCCCTCATCACTAGCAAATACTAGACATTCTAAGTGATTCTTATCCGTTAGGGATTTACACCACATGCATGCACAATAGACTAGTTGATCATGATAATCGAAAGGGTAATATAAACTCTACTAGGCACAAAAATATCATCCATGCACAACCATGAATAAAAACTCGAGAGATTCAATAGATTAAAACCGCATAAACAGATTAGCTACTAATGTTCTTGACTACAATAATAATAACATTGAACCACATAATCAAAGACATGATTGCTAAACAAAAAAAAAAATACAAAAAGATGAGAAAGAGTGCAAGGAAACATATCTACTACTGCTGCTGGGCTGGCGACTTGGGCAAGTGATGAAGCGAGTCGCCGCTTGTGTCTTCTACGTACTGCTTCCCTTCTCTTCTCTCTATTGCCTATCTTTCTATTGGTGTCATTCCCCCTCTCTCTGGTTGATCCTTTCCTGCTGCTGATCTTCTTCCTTTTAGAGAAGTCGGAGAAGGCTGGTCTTGCTTAGCTTGGTCGATTTGCACTTTATCAAAGAGTCAAAGTTGATTTCTTGATTTAGTTAGAGGAAGGATCCTCCTTCTTTCATTTCAATCAGCTTTCGGGAGTTGTTTATTAGATTAATCCTTTGCAGTCCAACAATCTCCCTTGAAATCAGCAACATCCCATCGTCATTGCTCTTCCTTAGCCTTGAAGAGTGCTTACTTCTCAAGCTTCCTTGTGCTGCTCTCGCCAGTTTCTTCTTCTTCTTGGGTTTGCATCACAAGTCCAATTGGCCCTTTTCCAATTTCTGCCCAACTTTTCACCAATTTGCACCAATTTACCCACCTTTTCATGAATTTTGAATTTACGTCCCTAAGTCACCCAAAACATTAAAAATTAATTCGAAATAAATAAATTTTAACTAAACATTATAATTTACAATTAAGAAAAGGTAAATTAAGCATACTTTTAAATGTATAATTTGACTCGCATCAAAATCCTCTTATTCCTTCAATCTCTTAAAAAGAATAGCTTGAGAGTGTAAACAATTTGATCTTGATCATTTCCTATCAAAAGCCATTTCCTTTATTTTGGCGTCTTCTTCTGTGACTTTTAAGTCTTTATTGACATCACCAAATATGTAAGTATTCTAAACCTTCAAAAAAAAAAACCTTTTAATCTTTTCAGTTTGCATGAAAATGCTCACATGCCATAACCTGAAACTTCTTGACTCCAACTGTATCTAACTATATTCAAGAATTCCTTCCTTCGCAGCCACCTTTTCTGACTATATTCAAGTTGCCCTATTAAGATGCTGAATTGTAGAACTTGAGAAGAACTCGAACCATTCCTTCGAGAATAACATTCTATCTAACTTCTTAAGAACCCTTCCATTTTATCGGTTACCAACTGACGTGAAGTCTCTCCCTAAAGTTTGAATTGCAGTGAGATTACAAGACTCAATCCATTCATCAAAATCCTCCATGGCAGCTTGATCCGGTTGCGAATATCCCGAATACTCATCCAAATTCTGAATGACATTAAAATTGCCCCCTATTATCCAAGGATTCCCTCGATGTTGACCATAAAACATTGATAATTCTAGTTGATTTCGCATACACCAGCAAAAATAAGAAATTCTTCTAAGAACTTTGATGCTGTATTTCCATATGAACAACATGCTCCCTATCTCCAAGTATATTAACAACATACTCTTGCACAAAACTCAAATTTTTCCATTTATAGGTGAAAAACCAAATTCCATGTGTGACTTTTGTCTCAACTCCTGCAATTTTCGAGCTCGCAACATCAGCTCCAAAATGTCAACCAAAGAAATTAAATTCCTAGGCCTTCTTCTAGATGCTTTATTTCCTACTCCTCTGATAGTCAAAATAAGCTGGCTTATGATATTTAAACCTTAGGAGGAGATCGCCTTGGATTCTCGTTGAATGACAAGGTTATAATTCATCATTTCGCCGCATTCCTTTGATTTATCCCTTTAGATGGCCAGGCTTCTTTTTTGTTTCTCCTCCATCAAATATTCTTTCATCTGCAGAAATCTCCATGCATGGTCTTTCATCAAAATAGTGATCATCTTTCGCAAAAAAATCCGGAAGTTTATGTTTCATCAAGTCCAAAACATTGTGGTCTTCAACAAAAATTTCTTCTTAATCTAATTCTTCCTCATTATCAGCCTTGTCATTATCAAAATGTGTTTTTGTCATCATTAGCCTCATTACTTTCCTCTAATTTGTTCAAATTTGAAATCACGGCAAAACGAGATGAAGCTCCAGACCTGAAGCTAAAGCTGTTGTTCTTATGTTGAAACGATTTGATCAGTTGATTTTTGTGGTTCCCAAGGCTCTGTAATTGCTGAATCTCCATCAATATTGAGCCTACTTGACTTTTTTTAGAAGTGTTGATCTCTGGAATTTGGTCTTCAACAACAATAGGAATAGATTTCTTTTCAATGATATTCAGACCTGACGATGATGGAGCATTTTAATTCAGTATACCAGCCTATTATTTGCTCTTTATTTTGGCTTCCATACATTTTTCACTTGGTCAGAGCTTTTAGAAAACAATTTTCCTTAATCAATATTATCACCATCTATTGATTCCGCAATCTTTGTTATGGATTTGTTTCCATTGGTTAAGGCATCCTTGTTGTGTTGGCAGTGATTTTCTTAATGCCCTGTCTTCTTTGGATAATATTCAGGCAAATTGTCATTAAAAAATGGTTGAATGTATTAACTTTAATTCACAAATGGATGCGCTTGGGTAAATCTTTTAGAATATCCACTTTCATGCACACACAACCAAAGGACGAGATATATTGAGTTTAGAAACATCAACCTTGAGAGGTTTACCAAACATACTGGCTAATTTACGTAAATACTCTTCATTAAAACGATGAACAGCTTCGAAGGATACCCATACCGAGACTATTGACGATTCATGAGTCAGATTGAATTTTGTTGTCCATTTCAAGTCTCTCATTAGATGTATTTCAAACGTCCATAGTCCTTTCATCCAGCAGCACTGAAAATCTCCCTCAAGATCAAAGAAAATTAGAACATGGTGATGATCAATTATATCTAGAAAAAAGTTCCTTCGAAACAGATCATGTGAAATTTTTTCCACAAAAAATACATTTTTGGCCGTCCTTTTGAGAACATTATGACTAGAGCAAGGCGGAAAGGAATGGCAAGTCGATCATCTTCTTCTTTTGTGAGTAAATGTTGGCTCCTCTTTGAATATGTTGGCTCAGATTTAATTGTTGGAGTTTCTTCACTAATGGAATCTGTTGTAGCAACCAAAGCTCTTGGATTCAGTTTCGAACTCCTGAAGATTTGAGCAAAAGAAAGTTTTTGGGGAAGGTTTTGGTTATCAGATGTTTCGAGAGGCCGACCAATAGCCATGTCCGACTGTGAAGGTAAAGTATTTTTAAACAATACTATGGTTTTCTAGAGATAAGCAACAAAAAAATTAATAGTTATAATTCAATTTGAATAACATCCTACTTTAATATTAGCATCCTTATTATCTTTTTTTTAAAAAAAACAAATTAAAACAAATTAAAGAAAGATAGAATGAAAAAATGCTCCGAAATGTTTTCAAAAGCGGAATTTCACACGGGATCGCTTTGGCATGTCATGATCGGATCGGATTCTAGATCGGTGAAATCGTATTGGTGGGATCGTAATCATTTTAAAATATTAATATATATATGTGTATTCTAAACTCACCTTAATATTTTGTAAAGATCTAAAATATTGAGGGTGCAGTTAGTTGTTTTTGGTTCAAATTCGTCATTTTGAAATTGTGGGTTTCAATATGTTAGTTCAATTTTGGTCTGAATTCATGGAGGAGAAGTAGACTAGTGCCCGCATAAGTATCATAAACTCAAAATTCTAACTTTTATCTCTTTTTTATACAAAATCAATGATTTGTACAAGGATCCCACCGATTCCATGGGATTCCAAGGATTTTAGCATGATACAAAGAAGGATTCCATAAGATTCGGAATCGATTTCGTGATTCCGTATTGCAGATCGTAGCATCGTACAATCCGGATTGGGATCTTGAAAACTGTGCTCCGAATTCAATTTATTTTGGTTTTTCAAGTTTTTTTAGAATGGTAAGATGTTTCTTTTTTATCATCAACCTGTAATATAATTACTGAGTTTGTTTGTTTGCTGAAGTAAGGGATACTTCTCTCTCTAAAATTTTTTGCTCTGACTTCTCTCTAAACTTTATTCTGTCCAAAACCCTAACTTCAAGATGGCGGCCACTAAGCCGCCGGATGAAAAAATCCTACTTTTGCTCAAATTCTTAACGGATCAAAACCTAATCCTAGGAAGATGTTGAAAGGAATCTGAAAGCCAGTCAACAAAAAATCCATCATCTATTCCAATCCCACTATCTACAAAGGTGAGCCAGTGTTTTTGTTAACCAAAGAAGAGGATGAAAAATTGGCTGAGCCTTTCAAGCTTGCGCTTATAGGCAAATTCTCAAAAGGTTGGCGATCCATGGAATACTTATGGTCTCAATTTCAAAAGGTAGGGTTTAAAGGTGAGTTCTCGTTGGGAATGTTGGATCATCGGCATATACTGATTTGTTTCGATCAAGAGGATGATTTCCAAAGATGTTGGATCAAGGGTCTTTGGCTGTTTGAGAATCATGTTATGCGAGTTTTGAAGTGGATGCCTGAGTTCAACCCGGAGCATGAGTCTTCAATTGCGCCAGTTTGGATAGCGTTTGAAGGCTTGCTGATTCATCGTTTTAATAAAGATTATTTGCGAAAGTTAGCAGGGATTATAGGCACTCCATTGAAGATCGATGTCCCAACTTGGAATATGTCAAGACCATCGATTGCAAGGGAATGTGTTGAGGTTAATTTATTACATGATCTTCCAAAACGTATCAGGCTCGGAACATCGAAAAATTCGTATTTTCAATCAATCACTTATGAGAATCTACCAGATTATTGTTTACGCTGTCGAAAAATAGGGCAATAAGAATTGGACTGCCGACATGTTAAGGGGAAAAAGGAAGAGGCAGAGGGACAGCAGAAAAACACAAAGGTTGCGGAAAAACAAGTGAAAAGCATTACTGCTGCGAATATTGTTAAAGGTAAGGCGCCAGTAAATAAGAATGCTTGGAAATAGAAAATGGCTTCTCTCTTGATTGCTGAGGCAGTAGATAAAGGTAAGGATGCTTCTACAGCAGGAATGAACTCCAAAGGAATAGATAAGATCGCTCGAAAGAAGATTTCCTGGTGAATACAGAAAATAAAGCGTCATCGTCAGGAACAGCCGCAACGGAGAAAGAGAAAATCCCAATTGATGTGGTTGATACGAGCTCGCCAAGTAATTCGACTGTATCGGAAAGGAAGATTTCAAATCAACAACTCGATTCTATAATTGAAAAGAATGCCTCAGATGAGTTTTGTTGGGATTCGGAGGGTGCTGGAAATAACTTGAATTTGGCGGAAAACCTATGCGTTGTTTTCAATCCGCAATTGAATTTTTCGTCTCGATTTGAAGTTCTGGCTACGATGGATGATAATCCGTTAATGGAAGATGGTACAGATGCGGTTGAAATTTTGGATGATACATCGAAAAGGTCTGAAGAAGTGATTTCAGAATCTGAGAAACTTCATATGGATGGTGCAACTGGAGACAATGTTCAGCGTACATATGCTCGAGATGATATGGATATTGAAAATCAGATTGCTGCAAATCCCCTTCAAGTTACAGGGGTGGTGGAATCTGATGACGAAGGGAAAAAGAAGGAGCCTGAAAGGCCTAAGGGTTCTGACCAACAAGCCACAAGGTGCGGAAACTCGAAAATCGTCGAGACTCAAATGTTTCCAATGAGTAATCAACTAATTTGGAATATCTGAGGAGTAGGGAATAAAGCTTCTCTTCGTCGTCTTAAGACTTTAATTTCCTCGCGTTCTATTTCAGTTGTTATTTTATTGGAGCCTATGTTACCATCTAATAAGTTGGACGAGATGAAAAATAAAATTTGATTCAAAGAGGCGTATTAATCAAGTACTGGGAAGATTTGGGTATTTTTTTTCCTTCTGAATGGTCTGTACATCTATTGGGAGGTTCGGATCAGGTGTTACATTTTGAGATGGAAAGTCCAAAAGTTGCTGGTAAGATTTTTATTTCGCGGCAGTGTATGCGAAATCGACAAGGAATGAGCGGCGGTCTCTATGGTCAGAATTGCAATTATTTTCCGATCAAATGGATGGTTATCTGTGGATGATTGGAGGGATTACAATGTGATTAGAAGTCTGGATGAATATGAGGGAAATTCGCAACCGGATTAGGGGAGCCATGGATGACTTCAATTCCTGGATTAATAGTTGTGGACTCATCGAAATTACTCCATTGAGGAATCCTTTTACCTAGCCTGGCAATCGATAGAATGGTCGTGTCTTGAAGAGGCTGGATCAAATTTTATTTAATCAGGCGTGGATACAAGTTTTTCAAGAGTCTTCGGTGCATCACTTGAGCAGAACCATGTCAGATCATGCTCCATTACTGCACCATTTCAAAGCTGCTACAGAAACGCGGCCAAGCATATTCAGATTTCCAAAAATGTGGACGAGGAGGGAAAACTTTCTGGACATTGTTAGAGGAAGCTGGGAGCAGCGGATGCAAGCAACCGGCATGTTGAGATTTTCTCTAAAGTTGCGTCGGCTAAAGGTGTGTTTGCGGGAATGGAATAAACTAGATTTTGGAGACGTTTTCAGAATTTTAAGAAAGCGGAGGAGGCAATTCATGAGAAGGAGCTAGAATATGATCAATTTGGTATTGATTTTGCACGAATGGAGTTGCACTGACTGCAGGCTGTTTTGCTACAGAGGCTGCGTGAGCAGGATGATTTTTGGCAGCAGAAATCAAAATTAAAATGGCTAAGGGATGGTGATGCTAATTGTCGAGGGTAAATCCCGGGTGCAGAGAGTCAATGATCTGACCTGGACAGGAACTTGCAAGACGGAGGTTAGTACTCCGAAGATTAAGTCAGTTCTAGGGAGAGAAACAGGTAATTAACACACTTAGAGAGAGAAACGATAGTGTGGAATTGAATTCACAATAAATGTTTAAGGAGTATTTATAGGTCCTAATGGGACAATACCTGTGGGCCCCCGTGTCAGGAGGGGCAAAAGCGTAAATAGACACCGTAACCCGGCTGGGCCTTTAGAGAAGGATAAACGGACCACTTGGGCTTATAAGATAAGCCCAAGTGGAGTGAACAGTTGGGCCGCCAGAGTGGGTCAAAGTTGACCCCCAACAAGTGCCCCTGTCAAGCCCAACGAAGCAAAGCCGGATTGGGCTTGACAAAAAGGAATTGAGAGCCCAACAGATCAGCCCAGCTTCTGGAATCTTCCTTCTTCTAATCGCCCTAGATCCAACGGCCCTGGGTTTTTCCCGCCCAAACGTGATGGACGCGTAGGATTTCGTGGGAGACCGCGCTGCAATGATAGCGCCTGATGGGAAATCGAGACACCTGAATTCCCCACAGGACGCCTGAATTCATTTTCCTCCCTTTTGCATTTAAATTTCAAACAGACAGAGCTCCGATTTCCTCTCTCTTTTAGCGAATCAGAGCAACATTACCATTCGGGCACCGGAATCACGGTCGGCGACTGACCACTGCGGCTCCTAATCGACCATTAACGAGTAAGTCTTCACCTTCTTTGTAAGTTCGAATTACGGTATGGCTAAAGAAGTAGTTAGGGTAGAGGACATTCGGTGTTCGCTAGACCAAGATAGGTTAAGCGATTTAGAAAACCACTATAGCCTTACGGCTATCAACCCCACCTTACCAGAAAGCGATGAGAGAGCCAGTACTCCCCCTCCGGGGAAAATTACAATTTATGAGAAGTTTTTGGAGTACAGGCCACACTTTCCTCTTATGCACATGTTCAGAATGATAGTAGAAGCCTACGGCCGACCTCTAGCCCAATACACCCCGAACCTCATAACCATCGTGTTAGCCTTCGTACACATATGCAACAAGACGGGGGTAGAGCCAGACATCTTCCTATTTAGATGTTTTTACAAGCTCGTCCGATGCGGGTAGAGTTTTCCCGGGTGGTTCAGCTTCACGAAAAACCTAAACAGTCCCTCCAAAGAGTTAGTAGCCAAGAACGAGAGTTCTAAGCATTCGAGGTCGGGCTTCTTTTACGTGGACGCGGACTTTGTTTCCCTTTATCCATGGACGCCGAATGAGGGGGGAGCGGCCAGTTTAGATCCGTGGACCAAGAAGGATAAGAAGGATATGGAGGCCCGAAGAGGAGACCTAGAGAAACTGGTCAGGTGGAGGAAGACTTACACCTATAGGCAAATTGCGTCGTTGAGTGACACGATCAGCTCTTGTAACCGAGGTATTTTACCTGAAGACTAACTTTGGTTATTTTTCTATTGATAGGTATATTTGCTAATCTCATGGGTAAACGCTTGGCTTTTGATGATTCAGACGAGGAGGAACAATATCCCGAGGAGAGGCTGCAAGAAACTCCTCAACCAGAAATGGGGCAAGTGCCCTCCTGTCAGATGATGAGGGCGCATGCAGAAAGTTCGAGGAAGAGGAACCCCTCAGGCCAAGCCTCGAGCCATCAAAAAAGAAAGCAGGGGGATCCTGAGGTGGTGGAGGTCGACCCCTTGTCCTTCAGTCTGCCCGCAATTCAAGAGCTGTCCTCCATTGACGAACTCTTGAAGGAGGGATACGAAGATCAAGGGCGAGGAGTGGGCCAGTTCGAGGGCGTTCCCGAGGGTCAAGCTCTGCTGACGTTCGACCCTCCATGGGTCGAATGCGCGGACCTGCCCACCGCAGAGGCGCCGCGACTGGAGGATGGCATGAGACAGGTAAATCTTTCTTCCTTAGTATTTATACTCTTCGCATTCGGAGGAAGACCCCACGGATCAAGAATGTCCACGTCATGCAGGCAGTGCAAGCAGTGAACTCCTTCATGACCGGGTGCATGGACTTGGAGAGACAGCTGGCCTCGGCCAGGAGGAAGGTTGCCAGTGAGGCCGGCAAAGTTAGAGAGGCTGAGGCGCGGCTCCAGGCCTTGGAAGAGGACAAGAGGCGACTGGAGGAGGACATCTCCAGAATGAGAGGGGAGTTCGAAGGTGTGGAACTGGCCCACAGTCTCCAAATCGAGAGCCTCTAGGCGACGAGTGTCCCCAAATCCTGTCTGGACGTGTACATTCTAGTGGGAGTACAGAGGTACTTGCGGTCGTCCGAGTTCGCCCTCGGGATAAATGACGTCATGGACCTGGCCATGGAAAGAGGGGCGAGGAAGGTCATCATGGAGATAGAGGCGTCCCGGAGGAAGAATGAGAACATCCAACCCATCCTCGATAAGTACGCTAATAGGGAGATGAAGGGAAAGACGTCCGCAGTAAGGCTGCGGCGCAAGGCACGGAAGCACTTCCGGGACATGAACTTTGCACTGCTACCTATCATGCAGCAGATCGCTGAGACTTGCCCCTCCATTTCTAAGCCCGAAGACATTCTGGACATCCCAGGCAGTCCTTCCTTCGTCTTCCAGATGCCGAGGGGAACTCAAACGCCTCCGAGGAAGCCACCGGGGCCTGACGAGGAGCCGGAGACGGTCGGACATGCACCACCCACCAAAGGGCACAACTCCGGGAGCCGCGGAGGGGGCGGCACTTCGACTGACTCCAACACCAACAACGGAGACAAGGTGAATGATGCGTAGGGTTAGGACATGATAGTGATCATCTATCCCCGTCCCCTTTGTAAAATTTTCACCCGAACGATAATGAATTTCAATTTTATTCACGATCGACTTATTCGTTATTTGTTAGTAATTTCATGTTTTTGTTCGTCGTCTCAATTTTAATTCTACTTTTAAGGGTTCTTCCTAGCCCGCGCTCCCTAACCTTCTGGTGGGTTGTCGAAGCCCCCAAAATAATTTACCAACTTAAACTGTAGATAGGATAAGTCAGGTCGATCCCACCGGGACGGTTAAACTTCAAATAACCGGAACACAAAATTGGACAAACAAGAAAGAAAGTTGCAGAGTGTCACTCACTTGCACGAGTGGGTAAAGTCACTCAGGTAAGTGACTCTGCAGAACTAAAGACAAAGAAAGACAAATGGAACCTCACTCACGGGAGTGAGAATTCCGACTCAAGGGACTGACTCAACAAACTGGATATTCATTCTCTTTTCCCTATGTAATCAAGTTGTAATCTTGCACTCTTTTGGTATGAATTCATGCTCATTCAGGCACTTATATATCTCTAAGTCACTTTCGATTTTTCCTAGAGGTATCTTTATCAACTCAATTAAACTATTTTTCAATGATTAATCAAGTCATAAAGTCATGAAGTTTTTCAAGCCTTATATGAATACTTATGCTAACCAAGTATATTCCTATCTCAATTAGAACCTTGGACTGTTACCTTCAAGTCATAAGTTGAAGCTAAATGATTCTGAACCTTGTTTACCCTTCCGGGATTCACTTAGTTCTGTGCACAATAATCAAATGGCCAATTTAATCAAGAGGTAGATGAAAGCTTTAACTTCAAAACACAAAATCATCCGAATGCATTCACAAACTTAAACTACATAGGTTCCAGAGAATGAAATCTAATTAACTACACATACAAACTACGAAAATACAAGAAAAGAAGGAAATCATTGAGAAGAAGCAAATCTGGATGCACGAGCAACAGTCACTCGCCCGAGTGACAAAAGTCACTCAGCGAGTGAGGTCTGTTACTCCTCTTTTCTCGCTCTGGACTTCTTCTTCCTTTGGAGTTTTCTCCCCTCTCTGCTCTCTTCTTCTCTCTCTGTTGTGTTTTGTGTGTTGTATGTCCACTCAGATGTGTGTTCATGCTGGGAATGCAGCTCCCTTTATAGAGCTTTGAAGCCGGTTCTTCTTCCAAGATAGCCTCCCCATGCTTGTGAATTATTTATTCCTCCCAATGCTTTGTGTCTTGAATACGAGAATTGACTGGTCTCTTGCCCTTCTCCAGCACTGGTATCAGCTGTAACATTGATCATCATGGGCGGTTGGGAGTCTAACCAAGGGGACAAGCATGCCCTTGGATGGGACACACTTATTAACTCCCAATGTGTCTTGTGTCTTGGAGTTCCTTTTTGACCAACTCAGCCCTCATTTTAAATTGGAATCAGCAGCCCAATTATTTCTCCATAAGCCCCCATTTTCAGCATTTGTTCACTCCGGTCCTCACCTATTTAGAAACACAAAACTAGCTATGTAAAATGAACAAAATCTAAGAAACACCCCTAATTTCTAACTAATTAAAGAGCAAAATTGCAATGCTTTTATGTAACAATTTAACCGTTATCAACTCCCCCAAACTGGAAGAATTGCTTGTCCTCAAGCAAAACAATCTAACCCCTTAAAAACTACTCATAGAAACAAGAAAACAATAGCTAACCACTGACTCCCCTGAGTGACAAAAGTCACTCAGGCAAGTGACACTGCAACAAACACACAAGAACTTCATAGCAACTACCAAACATAGCTAGTTCATATGACAATCGGATACAACATCTCAGACGCAAGAAAAATATGTATATCTTCATCCAAATTCGAATTTCACCTAGTCTTTACGAAATCACCTCCGTGTGTGTGTGAATCATGCCAAGTATGCAAAGTAACAAATTAGTATAAGGTAAATAACTGCTCATGGTGCATCTTTAGATATTTCTTAGCCTTATGACTCATTCTTTCTTACCACAATCATGCTAATGTGGCCAATATAGCCTCAGAGATATAAGGACTCTCACAATTCATTTCTTTTCAACTATTCTCCCTCATTCCCTTTTATTTACCTCCGAGTCTTTTGGCCTTTTCTATTTATGACTCATGATTCTTTTTATTTCCACTTCCGACCCCTCCTATCGAGAGCTTTCGATAGGAGACTTTGCTTTCCAGGCCAAAGCATCACTCATTGTTGCCATTTCACTCTAAGAGATTTAGCATTGATGCTCTACCTTATGCTCCCTCAAGTTCTTTTGAACTTTTTTATTTACTCATTTTTTGAGCATTCCGCCTACCAATTCCCAAAGAAGGTATTAGAGAGGGTCATTAAGCTTGCCTTAGTCAACTCTTTAGCATGTAAACAAACCACACTTTGCATTCAAGTGGTAGTAAGAAAAGTCATTTAAATATTTTAACCAATTTAGAACACCACAGAGCATGCTATAAAACTCAACTTCAATGTAACTAAACATAAAAGGCATGTGTGCTTAAGTAGTGTAGAGATGATAACCAAGAGTTAGGTAAAATCAAAATTTGAATTAGATATAAGAAATTAAGTACATTAGTCTTCATAGATATCCAATTATCATAGAACTAGCATTCACAAAAAATAAAAAAATAAAAAAAATTATAAACATGCTCCCTGCTACTCCCCCAAACTTATTCAAAGCATTGTCTCCAATGCTGACAAATAGATCACACAAAAACAAAAATAACAACAAAAACAGTTCACAGAAACAAAAACAATTCACAACAAAAACTGTGTTGTCACTCGCAGGAGTGATATTCTCATTCCTGTGAGTGAGGTAGAGGACTGATGACTTCCCTGAGTTGGAGCAATTGAAATGGATAAGGAGGGCTTCATGATGCACATCATTCAACATATCTGTTCGATTTGTTGCAAGCTCTATGTTGTGTCGAAATATACTCCATACAAGGGATCGCGACTTCCTTGTACAACAGCCTGGAATTGCAACATCAGAACACAAAAAAGATTCAACAGCTATAAGAGTTCAGAATTTTTATTTTTCTACAGTGTTACTCGTTGGAATGACTTTGGTCACTCGTGGGAGTGACTCTACAGTCCTTCTTTAGCTGCAAATTTAGTTTTCTCAAATACCAAGGATTAAAATTGAAACACAGACTAAAGATATCAAAAATTAAGCTCATGAAGTTCCTTGGTTCATACAGTTAAGCACAGAGACCATAGAAAGCAACAAAGTAGAAACACCATAGTTCCATAAATAGATTTAGCTTTTTAACAATAATGGTCAGAAAGAACTAGGTGACTCATATGCAATCGAACATGTTAAATTCTGAAAATTCTCCCTAAACTTGCTAGATATGGCATCAATGCTCATAAAGATATTAGAAGTTTACCCCAGACTAAAGCCTAGAAGTACACATTAAGCACACCAAATTTCATAATTAATAAGCTACTAAGGGATATGACATACAAAAGATGTCTCAAGAACCTAAAAAAGAAACAAAACAGAAAGGTAAAACAAAATATATGGGTGGGTAAAAGAAATAAATTGACTTCAAACATCAAGTAGGTTCAGAGTCACTTTGCCGAGTGACATGAGTCACTTTCCTGAGTGTCTTAGAACTTTCAGCAATAAACACACAAAATTTCAAAGTCAACAGCTTCTGTTTTCAAAATTCCCATATTTAAGTCAGAAACAAAATAAACTAACAATAATCATGCGTGATCAGAGCAGACATCAATTCTCCCAAACATAAAATAAAGCACAGATCCTATGTAGACTAAAAGAAATCAAAAGCAAACCAGTCACAGCAACTCAGTTTGTTGCAGGTACGCTCGGGAGAGTGACTAATCTCACTCTCCAGAGTGACTGATATCAGAATTTGCTGCATTTTTGGATCACCCATTGAATTGGGATGGTATTGATACTTCTTCTGCACATGGAAGCACACACATTAAACAAGAAAAAATTAAAATCATACAAAAACAAACTAAAAGGAAAAGAACATGGGTTGCCTCCCATGAAGCAAGCAAAATGTTGAAATGCAAGATGCATTCCATAATCAGCTCTTGTGGCTTCAAGTCACTTAGAATAGCCATCTTGATACCACAAGAATGTGCCATCAATTAGCCTATCATGCCTCCAGGAAGCATACTTTTGAATCATCCAACATAGAGGAAAATCTTTCTTGCTCCACTCTTCCAACATCTCGGGGTCCTTCTTGGTTTGACATTGATCGAAATCAATATACTCTATTTGCACACCCCAAGTGAATTCACCCTTACCTCTGCCCACATGACTCTCATCAAGGGAGATAATTGACTCTTCTTCATTCGTAAACAAAGTTGTATCCTCCGAGTCAATTATCTCTCTTTCTGGAGAAAGAGTCTCATGAAATCTTGAACACGGCTCACCTTCAGCAAACAGTCCCTCTAAACACAACTCCTCATCAAGTGGGTTACTAAAATCTTGTTGCACAACTTTCTGCTTGGCAGAGTTTTTAACGCCACTTGAGGAAGTGTGTTTTGTCACTCCCCTGAGTGGGAATGGCAGAGGTGGAACATAAGGAGGTGGTTTCTGATATGGTGGTGGTTGCATCTCCAACTTTGGTTCTTCCTTTACCTCCTTCACCTCCACTGATAGGACTAAATTCTGATGAGAAAATTGCTCTTCCTTCCTTTCTGAGATTTCATTCAACTTTTGGAGCCCTTGTATTTGTTCAACTCTTTGCTCCAACTCCTTTAAAGTTTCCTGAAATTTGTCCCACTCTGTTTGACTCAGCTCCCAGTCGAGCTCACCTTCATAGCACGCGGACATTGGTGGATCAGAGTAGTAATAATCCTGCTCATAAGAATCAAAACCGTTAAAAGCACAAGGGGGATTAAAACTATAACTAGGTGGAATTTGTTGGTAATTATTCCAATAATAAGAATTTTCTATATATGAAGGATAATCTTCCATTAAATTTTAGAGTTGGCACACTCTTCTCAAATCAAAAAACAAAAGGAAAAAAAAACAAAAACAAACAAATGGTTAAAAGAAGTTTTTCGCCGTCCCCGGCAACGGGGCCACTTTTGGTGGGTTGTCGAAGCCCCCAAAATAATTTACCAACTTAAACTGTAGATAGGATAAGTCAGGTCGATCCCACAGGGACGGTTAAACTTCAAATAACCGGAACACAAAATTGGACAAACAAGAAAGAAAGTTGCAGAGTGTCACTCACTTGCACGAGTGGGTAAAGTCACTCAGGTAAGTGACTCTGCAGAACTAAAGACAAAGAAAGACAAATGGAACCTCACTCACGGGAGTGAGAATTCCGACTCAAGGGACTGACTCAACAAACTGGATATTCATTCTCTTTTCCCTATGTAATCAAGTTGTAATCTTGCACTCTTTTGGTATGAATTCATGCTCATTCAGGCACTTATATATCTCTAAGTCACTTCTGATTTTTCCTAGAGGTATCTTTATCAACTCAATTAAACTATTTTTCAATGATTAATCAAGTCATAAAGTCATGAAGTTTTTCAAGCCTTATATGAATACTTATGCTAACCAAGTATATTCCTATCTCAATTAGAACCTTGGACTGTTACCTTCAAGTCATAAGTTGAAGCTAAATGATTCTGAACCTTGTTTACCCTTCCGGGATTCACTTAGTTCTGTGCACAATCAATCAAATGGCCAATTTAATCAAGAGGTAGATGAAAGCTTTAACTTCAAAACACAAAATCATCCGAATGCATTCACAAACTTAAACTACATAGGTTCCAGAGAATGAAATCTAATTAACTACACATACAAACTACAGAAAATACAAGAAAAGAAGGAAATCATTGAGAAGAAGCAAATCTGGATGCCTGAGCAACAGGTCACTCGCCTGAGTGACAAAAGTCACTCAGACGAGTGAGGTCTGTTACTCCTCTTTTTCTGCTACTGGACTTCTTCTTCCTTTGGAGTTTTCTCCCCTCTCTGCTCTCTTCTTCTCTCTCTGTTGTGTTTTGTGTGTTGTATGTCCACTCAGATGTGTGTTCATGCTGGGAATGCAGCTCCCTTTATAGAGCTTTGAAGCCGGTTCTTCTTCCAAGATAGCCTCCCCATGCTTGTGAATTATTTATTCCTCCCAATGCTTTGTGTCTTGAATACGAGAATTGACTGGTCTCTTGCCCTTCTCCAGCACTGGTATCAGCTGTAACATTGATCATCATGGGCGGTTGGGAGTCTAACCAAGGGGACAAGCATGCCCTTGGATGGGACACACTTATTAACTCCCAATGTGTCTTGTGTCTTGGAGTTGCTTTTTGACCAACTCAGCCCTCATTTTAAATTGGAATCAGCAGCCCAATTATTTCTCCATAAGCCCCCATTTTCAGCATTTGTTCACTCCGGTCCTCACCTATTTAGAAACACAAAACTAGCTATGTAAAATGAACAAAATCTAAGAAACACCCCTAATTTCTAACTAATTAAAGAGCAAAATTACAATGCTTTTATGTAACAATTTAACCGTTATCACCTTCCAATTAACACGCGCTTCCTTTCAGGAGAAGGACGCGGGTTTGGACTTGCCCCCTCAGCCCGAGGGAACCTCTCGAGGCGTGCCGGCGACTCTGGGCCAGGGGGAAATGTCCGGGGTTCCCTAGATCGACCTGCAGTTGCCCGACCCTCACTTCAATCCGACGACCTTTCCCCTGTATGCGACTGTCGGAGGTGCTTTGGTAGATCCGACCGTCAGCCAGCTGGAAGAGGCCTTAGAAACTTACAGGGCATCGGAGTTGCACGAGGCTCGCAGGGTCGTCATAGAGGCGAAGGCCAAAAACGATCGGCTGGATAAGTTATGGAGGAACACGGAGGCCTACTAGGAAGATCATCTGAAGAACTCTATACAGTTGGAGATATTGGCCAACAATCGCCTTCGGACATTCGAGGCTAAAATCCGAAAGAAAAAGAAGGATGAAGGCTTGCCCGAACCGGACCCAGAGGATTTTATTCCCCGCAACTATTTCGAGAGCGTCTTGGTACATCTCTGAAAGGCTTATGCCTTGGGCGCCGTCAAGTAGGATCGGTCTTCCGACAAGATTGAGGCTCTTCGGGCGTATGCTGGTCAACTTCGGGCGGCTTTGGAAACCGCAATCTCTTTTATTGTAGAGACGGAGAAGGAGTACGATTTTGAGGCATTGTGGCCCGAGCCCTGTCCGGCCATGCGAGACGACCCCACTTCCCCAACTCGCGAAGCCGAACGCCTGATATATGAGAACGACACTCTATTTTACGAGTTAGGTCGAGGGTCTCACTAGGGACTTATGTAATTAGGTAGTTTGTTAAAGTAATTAGGTAGTTAAGCAATTTTTGGTGTGTTTTTGCCAAGTGTATTTATCCGAGGGCCATACCTTCGAAAATTCACACATATAATTGATTCTTGTTTTTGAACATCGACTTTTTTGCTTTTCCTCATTTATTTGTTTTATTATTATTCAAGCTTTTACGGTTGTATATGTAAAATTCTGTGTATAGCCGATGCTCTTTGCTACGATCCGACGGTGGTAATATGAGTATCTTCCCCCGGATTTTATATTTCAACTGTATTACTAATGTTGCAAAAATTTAGTCGATGGTTGGTTGAAATCGTACCTTGTCAAGGGCCGCGGGAACCATAGGAATTCCGTGGGCCGTGGGATCTGCTAGGTGCCGTCGACCACTGGGGTTGAGACGGCTTTGTAAATGCCCCAAGGTCACGGAGACCGTAGGGGTTCCGTAGGCCACGGAGGCCAGACGGTGCCGTCGGCCACTGGGGTCGAGATGGCTTTGTAAATGCCCCAAGGTCACGGAGACCGTAGGGGTTCGGTAGGCCGCGGAGGCCACACGGTGCCGTCGGCCACTGGGGTCGAGATGGCTTTGTAAATACCCCAAGGTCACGGAGACCGTAGGGGTTCCGTAGGCCGCGGAGGCCACACGGTGCCGTCGGCCACTGGGGTCGAGACGGCTTTGTAAATGCCCCAAGGTCACGAAGACCGTAGGGGTTCCGTAGGCCGCGGAGGCCACACGGTCCCGTCAGCCACTGGGGTTGAGACGGCTTCAGGAAGGATGGGATTTTTACAAAGGTACGGGGAGAAGTCGTATATTAACAGCAAAAGTCCTGAAGTTCTCCTCTTTGGCTACGTCTATTACAAAAGTAGGCAGTAGCCTTCAGACATTGAACTTCCTAAGGTTCTGGATGTTCCACCATCGGGGAATGTTGCGAGGCTCATCGTCACATGTGCGCAGGCGATAACTCCCTAAGGGAGAAACTTCCACAACCTTGTACGGTCCTTCCCAGTTCGGAGCTAGTTTTTTGGTTGGTTCTGCGTGGCTCGCCTCGTTTCGTCGGAGGACCAGGTCCCTGACTTCAAAGTTCCGAGCCCGGACCTTGGCATTGTAGTACTTGGCTATAAGTTGCTTGTATTTAGCTTCGGGGGCTTTGGCCAGATCTCGTCTTTCATCCAGGAAATCAAGGCAAAGACGGATTTCATCTTTGTTCATTTCCTCCGCGAAGTTGACCACCCGGGGACTGGGTACCTCTATTTCAGCTGGGAGAACGGCTTCCATGCCATAGACGAGGCTAAAAGGGGTTGCCCCCGTGGCCGTTCTCATGGTAGTGTGAATGGCCCAGAGGACATGGGCCAACTCCTCAGGCCACAGCCCCTCGGCTCTCTTAAGCCGTGTCTTCATGCCTAGTAAGATGGCCTTATTTATATTTTTAGCCAACCCATTGGCCTGAAGATGGGCCACGGATGAGAACCGTTGTTTGATCCCAAGCTGCTCATCCCAAGATTTAAAAATTCCCGATTCAAACTGTGTTCCGTTGTCTGATATAAGGATCCTTAGAATCCCGAACTGGCAGACGATGTTCTTCCAGAAGAATTTTGCCACGTTTGCCCCTGTGGTGGAGGCCAGAGGTTCCGCTTTGACCCATTTAGAGAAGTAGTCAATTGCGACGATCACGAACTTGAGCTTACCCGGGGCCAATGTGAAAGGTCCTATTATGTCTGTTCCCCACTTGTAGAAAGGCCATGGGCTGCCAATCGGGATCATCTCATGCTGGGGAAGCCGCGGGATAGGGGCGTGCTTTTGGCATTGAGCGCACCGAAGGATAATGTTAAAGCAATCCTGGGACAAAGTACGCCAGTAATACCCAGCGCGGATCAGTTTTTTGGCCAGGTTACGTGAACCTAAATGAGCCCCACAAGCGCCTTCGTGTATGCTTCTGATCAACGTCTCCGCTTCCCGTGGCCCTACACAGCATAGCAAGGGTGTTAGATACCCTCGCTTGTAGAGGATGCCATCCCTCATTAGGTATCTTGGCGCCTTGAGTCGGATCTTCCGGGCCTCCCTGGGGTCCGCGGGTAACACCCCATTTTGGAGGTACTAGACAAAGGGTGTCATCCAAGATGCCTCGTCCAACGTCACAGGCAAGACCTCTTCGTCCAGGATACTCGGACGCGTTCTAACTTCCATGTGAATTTGTTGGGTAAGATGCACAGCGCGGGAAGAAGCCAACTTGCTCAGGGCATCGGCCTTCTTGTTCTGTGACCCTGGGATATACTGAATTTGGAAAACATGAAAGCCGCGTTCCAACACCCTGACCTTCCGAAGATACTTTTGGAGAACCACCTCCCGAACCTCATACAGCTTAAGGACGTGGTTAACAACCACCAGAGAATCACTGCAAACTGAGATTTCCTGAAAATCGAGCGCGCGGGCGATAGATAGCCCCGCGATCAGCGCTTCATATTCAGCCTCATTATTTGTGGTAGGAAAGTCCAGCTGGATAGCATAAACAATCTTCGACCCGTGGGGGTCGATCAAAACCACGCCCGCGCCCGAACCCTCTTCAGAGGAAGATCCATCGACGAACAAAGCCCACGTTTGTGATCCGGTGGGAGGAGATCCCTCAGGGCCTTGATAGCATTCATTAGCCTCGGCTTCCACCCTCCGAGGGATTTTGACAAGGAAATCGGCCAAGGCTTGACCCTTGATTGAGGTCCGGGGTCGAAATTCTATGCCATGCTCCCCGAGTTCCATAGGCCACTAAGTCATCCTGCCCGACATGTCGGACCTCCGGAGGATCTGCTGCAGGGGCTGATCCGTGAGAACAAGGATCGGGTGCACCTGGAAATATGGGCGTAACTTTCGGGCCGCGGTCACGAGGCAAAAAATCAATTTCTCAGCAGGGGTGTACCGAGACTCGGCGGGTAGGAGGACCTTGCTGACATAATAAACAGGGATCTGGTTTCCCTTATGCTCTCGAACCAAGGCTGCACTTACCGTGGACTCCCCCACTGCTAAGTACAAAATCAGAGTTTCCCACGGGTCCGGTGTGCTCAGAGTCGGGAGAGTCCTCAAGTGGTCCTTTAGCTCCATGAAAGCCTTCTGACAAGCCTCGGTCCAGCCGAAGGTATCGGACTTCTTGAGAACCTGAAAAAATGGCAAGCTTCGTTCGGCCGCCTTTGACAGAAAGCGTCCTAGGGCGACAATAGAGCCTGTAAGCCTTTGTACTTCTTTGATGGACCGAGGAGGTTGCATTTCTAGGATGGCTTGAACCTTTGAAGGATCCACATCGATTCCTCTCCGGGAAATCTGGTAACCCAAAAATTTCCCTGATCCGACGATGAACACACATTTTTTCGGGTTCAACTTCATATTAGCAGCTCTGAGGGTCTGGAAGGTCTCCTGTAGGTCGTTGACTACAAGGTCAATCCGACGACTTTTCACCACCATGTCATCCACGTAGACCTCTATATTTCTTCCTAGCTGGGCCCCGAAGACGCGATTGGCCACACGTTGGTAGGCGGCGCCCGCTTTCTTTATACCGAAGGGCATTTTTACATAGCAGGAAACCCCCTTTTCAGTGACGAAGGCCGTCTTTTCTGCATCATTCTCGTGCATTAGGATCTGGTGGTATCCTTTATACGCGTCCAGAAAGCTAAGCACTGGGTATGCCGAGATAGCATCGACCTTCTGCTCGATTGCCGAAAGAGGATAGCAATGCTTAGGATAGTGTTTATTGAGATCCCTTATAATCCACACACATACGCCAAGAGGAGTCGGGCTTCTTGACCATGACCGGATTGGCCAACCACATGGGATAGAAGATCTCCTTGAGAATGGACGCAGCCAATAGCTTAGTAACTTCCACATCGATAGTGGCATTGCGCTCGGGAGCCATCTTCCGCCTCCTCTGCTGTATGGGCCGCACACTAGGGTCTACATTCAGTTTATGCACGCCCAATTCGGGAGGAATCCCTGTCATGTCGCTGGGACTCCAAGTGAAGGCGTCTTCAAACTGCCTCAACAATTCGACCACCATGTCCCGAAGGCTGGGAGGCAAAACACCTCCTAAGCTGACGACCCTTCATTCCACAAAAGGATTCAGAGCTATAATTGTAACCTCGTCATCCACGAGACGAGAGCCCCCGCTTCCTTGGTCCTCGTCTTCAGAGATCGGGGCCTCCTGGACGGACCCGACGGTTGCCCCTCCCCGAAGGAAGTCACGCCCCTTTTTAGCGGCGATGATCATGCACTGTCGGGCCAATTGTTGATCACCCCAAACTTCCGCAACCCCAGCCTCGGTTGGAAACTTCATGACCAAATGATACGGTGAGTAAATGGCCTTTGCTTGACTCATCCAGGGTCGCCCCAAAATGATATTGAAAGGGGCCACGACATCCACCACCGCAAAGTTGACGATAATGATCCGATCCTTGGGATAAGTCCCTACGGTAACGGTCAAGCTGATTATGGCTAGTGGCATTATCACGTGGTTGGAAAAGATGACCAAGGGCATGGACGCGGGGCGTAGCTAAGTCTTGTCAAGGCCCAATTTCTAGAAAGAATCACCATACATGACATCCAATGCGCTGCCATTATCAACGTATACACGTCGAACTTCCCGATTGGCGACTATGGCCGTGATGACCAATGCGTCGGAATAATCTTCGGATCCATCCACCAAATCCTATTCTGAGAAGGATATCACCTCCCCGGGACGAAGGCGTTTAGCCTCGGACTCATCTGGCGGTCGGGGGCGTGAACTTCTGCGGAGAGCAGAAACACTCTGGACCCCCAAGGGCGCCCCATATATAGCACCCACGGGAGCGGCCAAAATCTGCCTTGCCTGCACTGGATCGACACCGTCCTGAGCTTTGGCCCCGTCCCCAGCGGGGATTTGATTGGCGGCTTTAGCCTTGTTTTCCTCCACCTCCGGTTCTTGGGTTGGCCTGGTGCTTTTTCTTGGGATCTCGTTTGGACACAATCTTGAAACTTACCCGCCTTAAGACCCTGTTCGATCTCCTTCTTCAGCCTGTAGCAATCTTCAGTATTATGCCCCTTGCTTCGATGAAAGTCGCACCACTAGGATGAGGATTCATTCTGAGATCTGCCTGGGGGTGGAAGCTTGAACTCACTCTTGTGAATTTGAAGAATCTCCTTTCTAGTTTTTGTAAGGACGGGTACTTTGGACTCGAAATTCAGAGATCCAATGTTGAGTTTCTTTGCCTCCGACTTCCCTGCTTTCTTCTCACCTTCTGCAAAGGCTTCTCTGGCTCTCTTCATGGACTCGTCCGTTCGAATCTCCTTTTTGACTATCTCCCATAACTTCTGGGTGGTTCCCGGGGGCTTGGCTGTGAGCTTACTCCTTAGGGCAGCACCCGCACCAAAGGGGGAGAGGCCGTTCACGAAGTCGACCCTTACCACCAAATCATCGACTTGATCTATCATCATGAGCTCCTTCGTGAACCGCTCGTAATATTCCCCCAAAGACTCGTTCCGACGCTGGCGAACCGATGACAAGTCGTGGATGGTGCGCTTGGCCCTCTTGCTAGAAAAGAATCGGACGTGGAGTTTCTGCCCCAAGTCCGCGTAGGAAGTAACGCTTCCTGGGGAAAGGCTGTCGAACCATATCTTAGCGGCCCCCGTTAGGAAGGTAGGCATCGCTTTAGTAGAGAACTCCCGGTGTGAGTCTCGCAGGTCCATGGCCGCGGTGTAATCAGCCAAGAAGCTAACCGGACAGGTATCACCCCCGTATTTTGGGATGTCTATTGGGAGCTTCAAGTTTACCGGCCGTGGATAGCACCGGATATGTTCCGCGAAAGGACTTCCCAGTGCCTCCCTACTGTTGAGTATAGCCTCGAGCCGGGGATCTGACACACCCTCGCGGTCCACCCGCGGCTCGGGTCTTGGTGGGGTTTTAGGGTCACGTTCTCTAGATCGACCTCGACCCGGGGTACCCTTCGTTCCCCCATGAACATGAGGCTGTCGTCCGGACCTTCGCCTTTGCCTCCGTAATACATATCTTCAAACTTGCGGAACTGCTCTTCGAATCCGGGGAATCTCCTGGCAAAGGATCTCCAGAAGCGGTTGTCATGAGGTCCTCGTTCAGGTGAACAGGACGGGCGAGGACGCTTGGAAGGCTCTTTGATCCTTTCTGCTTCTTTACTGGTCCGGCGGGATCGGCTCCTCCGGTGTTCGGCTGATTCATGGTCACGACCCTCATGGGGATCGTCAGACCTCCTGGAGCGACCCTGACAGTCATTAGTTCGGGAAGCCCCTTCAGCATCTTCCTTATCTCGGCGTTCTCTGCGGGACCGGGCGGATACGCGGGAACTCCCCCCTACCACCTTCGATCTCAATCCAGGCCTGCGACTCGTCCCTTCGTTAGGCCTTGTCCGGGTAGAGACCATAACTCTCGTAGAGCAATTGGATCGGCCCTCGGCCAGTTGGGAATAAATGTCCCCACAGTCGGCGCCACTTGTCGAGGGTAAATCCCAGGTGCTGAGAGTCAATGGTCCTACCTGGACAGGAACTTGCAAGATGGAGGTTAGCACTCCGAAGATTAAGTCAGTTCTAGGGAGAGAAATAGGTAATTAACATACTTAGAGAGAGAAACTATAGTGTGGAATTGAATTCGCAATAAATGTGTAAGGAGTATTTATAGGTCCCAATGGGACAATACCTGTGAGCCCCCGTGTCAGGAGGGGCAAAAGCATAAATAGACACCGTAACCTGGCTGGGCCTCTAGAGAAGGAGAAACAGGTCACTTGGGCTTATAAGATAGGCCCAAGTGGGGTGAACAGTTGGGCCGGCCAGAGTGGGTCAAAGTTGACCCCCAACACTAATACAAAATTTTTTCATGCCTCCCTGATTGAAAAGAAGACTCGATTAGGTATACATAAAATAAGGAGGCAAGATGGTTCTTGGATCTCAGACAGAAAAGAGATTGAAAAGGAGGCAGTGTTATTTTTTACAAAGCTTCTTAACGACGATAAGTCTGAAAATCAGGAGGAAGCAACAAGAAAGATATTGGCATGTATTCTGATAATCTTGGAGGGGATGATAATATTAGTCTTTTGCAACCAATTACATCCGAAGAAATAAAAGAGGCGGTATACAGTTTTGATCCTGAAAGTGCTCCAGGAGCATAATCTATCCAAACTTGATGGCTGCTTGTGTGGATTTTCTAAATGGCACTCCTCTGCCTAGGGCAATCACTATCACAATAATAACTCTGATTCCGAAAAAGGTGACAACAACCTCTTTTGCAGACTTCCAGCCGATTAGTTTGTGTAATTTCATCAATAAGATTTTTACGAAAATCCTCACTAAAAGAATGAAAAATCTCCTTCCTAGATTGATTTTTGAGGAACAATCAACATTCTTAGAAGGCCATGATATAATGGATAACGTCCTCCTCACTCAAGATTTAATCCAGTTTTTGGACCAAAAAGTTCGGGGGAGAAACCTAATCTTGAAAATGGACATGATGAAGGCCTTTGATCGAGTCTCTTGGGGTTTTCTACAGCAACCTCTCGCCCTGTCGCTTTATTTTGTTGTCTGAAGCACTAACGAGGAATATGCAAAAAATGATAAGGAAAAGAAGAATAGATTTATATAGAATGCCAGCTAAAATAGTCCTTCCATCTCATCTGTGCTTCGCGGATGACTTGATTGTCTTTACCAACAAGGCTTGAAAAAATCGATGCAGCAGTTGATGATTTTCTTTCAGGATTATGAGGATGCTACTGGTCAAAAGATGAATAAGCAGAAGGGCACTTATCTAATTTCAGAAAAGAGTGGAATGGAACATATTGCTTTGATTAAAGATACTTTGCAAATGCAAAGGGGAGTTTTCCCTTTCATGTATTTGGGGTGCAAATTATTCAAAGGGCAAAAGAAAGAAGAATATTTTCAGCACATCCTTGATGCTCTAGATGCCAAGTTGTCGAGTTAGAAGAATAAATTTCTATCGCAAGGAGGAAGACTGTTGCTTACCAAACATGTACTTTCTGCGATTCCACTTCATACCATCGCAGCCATTGTTCCTCCAAAATCTATCTTTGAGAGTATGGAACGCAAATGTCAAAATTTTCTATGGGGGGAAATGGAGTTTGGAAACAAGCGACATTGGGGAGCTTGGCGTAAGTTGACTTTCCCCATTTCAGAAAATGGATTAGGTATTCGCAATTTGTCAGATTTTACTCAAGCCTTCTCCATGAAATTGTGGTGGAAATTACATACTAATCAAGGAATATGGGCGAAGTTTATTGACTCTCTCTCAGCTACTCAGAAAGGGAAAACATCTTGGTCTCGTATTAATTCGGTTCATCATCTCGCACCTGCAAGGAGTTCATTAATGATCTGTGATGGTCCATCTTCTTTTTGGCATGATTGTTGGCTGGAAACTGATGTACTATGGAATAATTCAGATGATCCTCTAGCATCGGACTTAACTGCAAAAGATTTTTTTTCTTTCCAAAGATTTGTTCTTGATTGTTTTTGCAGGATTGCTAGGCGAGCAAAAACTGGAACAGTTGTGGAGTTTGGACTTTGCGGAGGAAGCAGATATACTTGTGTGGAAACTGACATCAATGGGCCTTTTCTCCATTGCTTCAGCATATGAGGAAGCTCGTCAACATAGAGAAGAGTTTCTTTCCCTTAAAACTCTTTGGAACAAGCTTATTCCTTTAAAAATATCTTTTTTTGCATGGAAACTTTTTAATCGTTTGCTTCCATTTCCAGAATCCTTGCAAAAAATTGGTTTTGTTTTAAACCCCTCGAGATGTCCCTTTTGTCATGCAGCTGAGGAAACTATGGATCATATTTTTTATGCATTTCAAAATATAATTCTTGTGTGGAAAAATTTTGCTTCCCTTTTTGGAATTCTAATTCCAGAAAATGCAGGATGGTGGACTAGCCTTCAAACTTGGCAAAAAATGGGGAGCTTCACTTCCGCCAAAAATTCCATTTTAATGGTTGCACCGGTTTCCCCTTGTGGGAAATATGGAAGATGAGGAACAAAGTCATTTATGATGGTGTTACTTTTTCTTTCAGTCTTTTGCAAAAGGAAATCATAACTGATATTTTGAATATGTTGAGTGTACATGATTTGTAGGCTAGGAATTTGGAGGAACTTAATGAGCTACAAAGCTTATATAGAGTCAAGTGGGACAACCAAAAAGTAAAGCAATGAAGGTACTACATTGGCAACCTCCGGACCCAGGAAAAGTTGTACTCAATACTGATGGATCAGCGCTTGGACAGCCGGGAAATGCTAGTTGGGGATATATCATCTGAGGAGGGGGGTTTATATTCGCAGAATGCCTCCACATGGGCATAGCCACAAGTTTTGATGCGGAGCTTGCTGGAATTCTTCATGGACTCAAGACTTGTGAATAGAAAGGGATACATCAAGTGATTGTCCAAATTGATAATGCCAGTATTGCTTCCTTATTGAAGCATGGTAAGCACTTTCCCTGGAAGCAATACATGGCTCTTAAAGGAATTCAGGAAAAGATGAGCACTACAATTTCGACAATTGTCCACATTTATTGTGAGGTTAATAGTATTGCGGATGACCTTGCAAGACAAGGCTCTATGGGAATCTCATTGCAATATCACTCTCAGGATTCTCTTCCTACATCAGTGAGAGGTAAGCTATACTTAGATCGGAATAGATTTCCTTATTTAAGAATTAGATAGTTTACTACATAGCATAGGTAAAATTAGAGATGTCATGGGATTTATGTTTTAAATCTTTGTAATACATTCTCTTAGTTTTATCTTTCAGTTTAATAAATATAATGAACTGTCAAGGGATAGTTTTTAGAACTATCTTTGTAAGATAATTCATAGATACTTTTTGTTAGAGAACCGTCATGGGGTTTTTTAGAAAAACTTTTTGTAAGACGGTCTCTTTTTGAATTATGTAAGTCTTAAGCATTGCCCTTTGTATTTTGTTTCTTTATATTAATAAAATCAGGGGGATGTCCGCCAGCAACCGTCCTGGTTCTCTTAAAAAAAAATCACTGAGTTTGTTTAAAATTTTGGTCCTCGTTCTCACACGTATTAGTCTTTCACAAGTATAAGTCTTTACCTCTTTTTCTTCGCTGTTGTGAACCAAAGGTATGTATGTATAATAGAAGTAACCATTAATTTTAAGGTATTCATTATCATCTAAGATATATAATAGTAAAATATTAATTGTTTTAAGAGAACTTTCAAATAAGTTAACCACCAGTTCATCATATTTTTCGCTTGTAAATATGCGTATATAGTCTTAACTAAGACACAAAGTGCATGATAATGCAGCTCCGAAACAGGAAGTTGAATTTGTTGCTTGCAGATGTGGAATGAGATACTTTAGGCGAGTTCTAAAACTTATGTCTTCTTGTACAAAGACTTGCCAATCCCGATCCAGACAAAAAAAAAATGATACCAAAGTTGATGCCACGTTCTCCCTCCGTTGATACTGAACCTTGATGACATGGAGCATCGGGAAGATTGTTCCGACTATGAATTCATAGGCCACTATGTTGTCGAAGTGGATGCCATTTTAGTTAATGTCAACCGCAACATCCCTTGCTTACACCACCAGTTTTGACATTAAGATTGGAATACCCGGTTGACTCCTTGCAACCCAACGGTGAATATGCATCTTAGTCGTTTCGATATGAGCAATATCTCTAGATATATTGGTG